TACCTCCCTAAAACAATCCAGGACCTAAACCTACAGACCCAAGAGTAACCTAGGAACAGAAACTGTGTGACTTTTTTTAGTGTAAAGGGGCTTGTAACAGGGAACCTAAACCCCAACAAAAGCGGAACGCCGACTCTGGGTCCTGGAAACCAACCCCAAACCCCAAAAACCGGAACCAGCACCTACTCTGACGGTTGAGGAACCCTAAACCCTAAACCCTAAACCCTAAACCCTAAACCCTAAACCCTAAACCCTAAACCCTAAACCCGGTCTTGGGGTTTTGGGGCTTTCGGGTGTCGGGCTTAGGGCCGGCAGCGCTGTTAGGATGTTGGATGCAGCTCCGGACTCTGAGTAGGGTGTAGGATACAAACAGGGCATGCGCACCCTCCATGGTAGGGTTTAGGGTTTAGGGTTTAGGGTTTAGGGTTTAGGGTTTAGGGTTTAGGGTTTAGGGTTTAGGGTTTAGGGTTTAGGGTTTAGGGTTTAGGGTTTATGGTTAGGGTTTAGGGTTTAGGGTTTAGGGTTTAGGGTTTAGGGTTTAGGGTTTAGGGTTTAGGGTTTAGGGTTTAGGGTTTAGGGTTTAGGGTTTAGGGTTTAGGGTTTAGGGTTTAGGGTTTAGGGTTTAGGGTTTAGGTTGGGATGTTCACCCTCGTACAAACAGTCCTCAGTAGGGACTGTCATAAGGGGGGGGGGGGGGGGGGGGGGGGGGGGGGGGGGGGTACTGATAATCCCTATTCAGGACTGCTAGCAGAAGGGGGGACATCCCAAGGCTTAGGGTTAGTACTACTTGGAGGTTCAGGGTATCTAGTAACCAGTTATAACTGTACTTCTAACCCTTAAGTGCCCGAATATCGTTATAAGTACAGTTAGAAGTACAGTCATAATTGCTTAATCAGTACCATGAACCTCCAACCCTAAACCCTAAACCCTAAACCCTAAACCCTGAACCCTAAACCCTAAACCCTGAACCCTGAACCCTGAACCCTGGAACCCAGACCTGAGTGATGCTACGTCGAAAGCCCGACTTGAAAGGATGGACGGCCCTAAAGCGGGTTGGGCGCACAGGGTCCTGAAGGGTCGGGGGCGGGGTTTAGGGTTTAGGGTTTAGGGTTCAGGGTTCAGGGTTCAGGGTTCAGGGTTCAGGGTTCAGGGTTCAGGGTTCAGGGTTCAGGGTTCAGGGTTTAGGGTTTAGGGTTTAGGGTTTAGGGTCTAGGGTTTAGGGCTGTATGTTTCTTGGTCCGGGGATCCAGGGGCCGGGCCCGTTCTCCGGCCTAACCTCCGATCATCCTGTGCCCAGGTGGGGCGAGGGCAGGGCTTAGATGTGCCTGGGTGTGGTTTAGGGTTTAGGGTTTAGGGTTTAGGGTTTAGTGTTTAGGGTTTGGGGTTTTGGGTATAGGCGGTATAGGGTTTAGGGTTTTAGGGTTTAGGGTATAGGCGGTATAGGGTTTAGTGTTTAGGGTTTGGGGTTCAGGGTTTTTTGTTCAGGGTTTAGGGTTTAGGGGTGTTTAGGGTTTAGGTGCTTCCTCAACCCTAGACCCACGATCTTGAAGATCCGATCTTGAGGAAAGCATCGGAGTGTTGGGTTTGCGGTCGTTGGTGCTGGGGGGCGTTATTCAAGAACGAGATCCCAGTTTATGCGATGACCCTCGGGGATTAGGGCGACTCAGTCATGCCGATGCCCGTTGCCAGAAAGCAAATGTAGGCAAGTGCCAGCCAAATACACTGTGGGGCTTGAGCCCTATGCATAACGAGGGGCTACGGTCTTTCCAGGGTGTGAGGCTAGCGGAGGGGCGGGCTTGTTTTGCAAGGTCAGCTGGGGGTTTACGAACCTAGGGGACCCCTAATATAGACCCAGCATAGTCCCCTTATAATGAGGATATCGTAAACCCCGTTTAGGGGTCAGGGTTTATGGGGTCAAGGCTTAAGTTGGTGCTCTTGGACGCCGATTTTCGCCAAGAGCTGCCACGCTGCGAGTCACCAGCTTAACCAACGTGTGTGTGTGTGTGTGTGTGTGTGGGTGGGTGTGTGGGTTTGGGTGTGTGTGTGTGTGTGCGCGCGAGCGTGCTACGTACTCCTCCAAAAAAAAACAAATGGAAGGCTTGGGGGCTTGAGGGCTTTCGGGGATGAGGGGCTGGCAAGGCTTCGTGGTTTAGGGCGTGAGGAGGGGGTTTTTAAGGGCTGGCGTGAGGAGGGGGTTTTTAAGGGCTGTCAAAGGCTTTGGGAAGAGTTCTAGCTGAAGGGCTTAGGCTTGGGAACATGCCAAACCCTAAACCCTAAACCCTAAACCCTAATTCTAAACCCTAAACCCTAGACCCTAAACCCTAAACCCTAAACCTGGGCTGCAGAAAACTCATCTCGCTGCCATGGCTGTGGGGTGCTGCCTGGAATGCCAGGCCCTGATCTTTCTCAACCCTAAACCCTAAACCCTAAACCCCAAACCCTATAAACCCTAAACCCTAAACCCCAAAACCCCAAAACCCTAGTTCCGAAACACGGATCTCCCGACCATCTTAAGCCCTGGCCCTAGACCATACTAAGCCCATTGGGCCCCTGCTGCGCAGGGCTTACGGTCGAAGTTTAGGGTTTAGGGTTTAGGGTTTAGGGTTTAAGGTTTAGGGTTTAGGGTTATCAGAAACCCTACTCGGAGGTCCATGGTACTTGTGAACCAATTATAACCGTAGTTATAACTGTACTTATAACCATGTTGGGGCACTTAAGGGGCTTATATGTGGGTTATACGCACGGTTCGAATTGGCTAATAAGTACCAGAACCTCCAAGTAGGGTTTCAGAAAACCCTAAACCCTAAACCCTAAACCCTAAACCCTAAACCCTAAACCTCCAAGTAACGCACAGGCTGCGGGGAGGGAGGCCATCAGCATCCGACCTGCGCAGGTGTGCATCAGCACCCCGAGCTTGGAGGGTTTCGGGTTTAGGGTTTAGGGTTTAGGGTTTAGGGTTTAGGGTTTAGGGTTTAGGGTTTAGGGTTTAGGGTTGAGAAAGGATTGTTCGGGTGAGGCACCCCACGACAAGAATGGCAGGAACCAGGAAAGCAAAACCAAAAACCAAACCCTAAACCCCAAACCATGAACCCCCAAACCTTGGCCCTAAACCCTAAGCTAAACCCTCCTAAACATACCCGATGTCTGACATATTATCTCGGGAACTGTTTCAACCCTCAGTTCGGAATCCTCAAACTGCACATTCTTAAACCCGAAACCCTAAACCCTAAACCCTAACCCGCAAACCGTAAACCCTAAACCCTAAACCCTAAACCTAAACCAGAAACCCCAAACCCTAAACTCTGAACCCAAAACAGCCATGGTGGAAACCTTTCAATTCAAGGCGCGCCCACAGAGGCTGATGACAGGTGTAACTCTAAAGTACTTCCTGAACAAAGCGCCTCAATCAACCCCTTAAACTACTATTTGCTGAATAACACCCAAATAACTACAATAAGAAACGAAAAAAACCATAGTACTCTCATAAGGAAGAATGTGTTCGTTTGTTGTTTTTGTATTTTTGAGGGCCTCTTGAGCACTTCGTAGACAACCGAAAACCATATAACTTATATCCTTGATGGAACCTAGAGAAGCCCGCGATCACCCTAAAACCCTAAACCCTAAACCCTAAACCCTAAACCCTAAACCCTAAACCCTAAACCCTAAACTCGACATAAAGCCGAGCCCTCACGCCTTCAGCGATATCACAAGCCGTGGGATGAACAGGGTTGGGGATTAGGGGTTTAGGGTTTAGGGTTTAGGGTTTAGGGTTTAGGGTTTAGGGTTTAGGGTTTAGTGTTTCGGGTTTAGGGTTTAGGGTTTAGGGGCTAGGGGTTAGGGGTTTAGGGTTTGCGGCTTAGGGTCTAGGGTCAAGGGGTTCGGTGGCTTGGGGGAACGAAAACGTGCACCACAACAGGGCACGCAGGCAGTGTGCATCTAGCAGGCCCTAAACCCCGCAATGCCCTAAGCCTCACAACCCAAAATACCCAATACGCTACATTGAAAACCCTAAGCCCCTAACCCCTCAAACCCGAAATCCTCTAGATACCCTAAACACCCACTTACCCTCAGCCCTAAACATCCTGATTGCCCCAAATACCCTGAACCCTAATCCTTGCACATCATCAAGTCCAAACTCTAAACTCTAAATGCAAAACCCTAAACCCTAAACCCTAAAGCCTGAACCCTAAACCCTATACCCTAAACCCTAAACCCTAAACCCCAACCGGCTGCGCCTTTGGGTGATGCTGGCAGGAGCCAAGCGCTGCGCGCCGTCGCGGCGCTAAGCAGCTGCCTCCGCAAAGACCTGTGCCTAGGGCGTATCGGTTTAGAGTTCAGGGTTCAGGGTTCAGGGTTCAGGGTTCAGGGTTTAGGGTTTAGGGCTTGGGGTTTAGGGCTTGGGGCTTGGGGCTTGGGGCTTGGGGTTTAATTGGGGTTTAGGGTTTAGGGCTTAAGGGTTTAGGGGATAAGGTTTAGGGTTTTGGGCTTAGGGTTAAGGAATCCTAAACCCTGCAAGCGGAATCCAGGCTGAACTCCGGTTGCCTCATTTTGCGACACGTGAGCAGAGTTGTTTTCCGCATGCGCTGCGGCAAGTGAGCTCGGATGCTTCTTCTAAGGCTGACCTTTGGCCACATGAAACAAACTAAACTGATAACTACTACTTGCTTAAGAAGCACAAAATGAAAGGTCATAATCATTTCATAATCCCTCTTCTTAAGCAAATAGTAGATAAATGGTGCAGGAGCAGCACGCCTCTTCAGCTCAGCTGCAATGGAAAACATGCGTGCAGCGAATTAAGAACCATACACTTTTTAGACACGAGCACCATCGTGTTCCTAAACCCTCCACGACAAACCTACAAGCGCTGAAGTCCTAAACTCAGAACCCTGCATCCTGCAACCCCCAAACCGCTAAGCCCTAAAACCTGAGAACCCTCAATCCTCCAAACAAACCCTAAACCCTAGCCCTAAACCCTAAACCCTAAACCCTAACGCCTAAACTTAGGCGGCCTCGGAGCTCTCAGACTCGGAAAACTCAGGGTAGCCCGGGCCGGTGTTGCTGTAGCGCTTCACTGGGCTGTGGAAGCTCTCACCATGCCTCATGTCTTTCAGTAGCCCTAAACCCTAAACCCTAAACCCTAAACCCTAGAAAACCCTAAACCCTAAACCCTAAACACTAAAAACCCTAAGCCAGGAAGGGTTTGGGGTTTAGGGTTTAGGATTTAGGGCGATTCCCCCACAATTGAACTGGGAACTCAGACGGTGTCCTCTTAATGTGGCTTCTTAAGGGAAACCAAACCCCCAAAAAGGGGTTTAGGGTTTGGGGAGTTTAGGGTTTAGGGTTTGGGGTTTGGGGTTTAGGGTTTAGGGTTTAGGGTTTAGGGTTTGGGCATCCAGGATGCGTGTTCTCGTCCACGCCACTGCGCTCAATGTCTTCAGGCACGCGTACCTACAATGGGGGGGCCGGAAAAATCACGAACAGTATTCCCTTATGGTCCCTTATTGTTCTACTGGAGTGACCCCCGAAACAAAACAAAAAAACTATTCTAAGTGTTAAGGCCCCCTATCCCTAAACCCTAAACCCTGAACCCTAAACCCAAAATGAGGGTCGCTTGAATTCTTGGAGTTGTTTTGGGGACGACATAGATCTGTTCATGCATGTTTCGACTCCACTTCCCAGACCCTCTGAACATCCCTAGTTACCCTAAACCCTAAACCCTAAACCCTAAACCCCTGCCTTCATCACAAGCTTCAGAGCTTGCAAGATGATGGCGGTCCCGGCGGCGGAGTAGGCCACACCTGCGGCCGCGCCCGCGATCTGCCGCCCAAGCAACGCGAAGTTGCCCGTGTAGATGAGGCCGCCGTCCAGGGCAAAGATGCCTGGGCTTAGGGTTTAGGGTTTAGGGTTTAGGGTTTAGGGTTTAGGGTTTAGGGTTTAGGGTTTAGGGTTTAGGGTTTAGGGTTTAGGGTTTTGGGTTTTGGGTTTAGGGTTTTAGGGTTTAGGGTTTAGGGCTAGGGTTTAGGGTCGCATAAACACGCAACCCGCAACCTTCAGAAGCAGAAACAGGACAAAGGGGTACCGCTTGTTGCTCCTAGATGCCTGTGAGGATCGCCCCTGCAATGCCTCCCGACCCATGAAGGCCGAAGGCGTCCAGCGTGTCGTCCACAAAGTTCCTTAAGATCAGATCCCAGAACGCTTAGCCCTAAACCCTAAACCCTAAACCCTAAAGCCTAAACCCCCAAAAAGCGTTGCAGCCGGAGGCTCACCCTGTTCACCAATGCCACGGAGGTGTAGCACCAAATTGCTCCTAGGGTGGCGCCATGAAAACACTCTGAAGCAAATTCTTAAAGGGTTTAGGGCTTAGGGCTTAGGGCTTAGGGTTTAGGGTTTAGGGTTTAGGGTGTAGGGTTTAGGGTTTAGGAACCCTCCTGAACCCAAAGTAAGGGGCCGAGGCTCCTAAGAATCCGATGGCGATCGAATAGCCTGGGGTGACGAAGCCCGCGGAGGGCGTAATGCATACCAGGCCGGCCACCTCAGAGTCTGGGGTTTAGTGTTTAGTGTTTAGGGTTTAGGGTTTAGGGTTTAGGGTTTAGGGCGTAGGGCGTAGGGCTTAGGGTTTGGGATTTATTTAGGATTTAGGGTTTAGGTGTTTTTTGCTTCTTTTTTTTTGGGGGGGGGGGGGGGGGGGGGGGGGGGGGGGGAGGTTGGGTCTTTAAAGACATCACAATGCAGCGGGCCTGAGGGGCTAGGGTGCTGCTCAGGATTTCGAATGTTTAGACAGTTTTGAGTTCACCGTGTTTCGTCTTGGGGATAAAAAAACTTAGTAGGGATTGGGGTTTTCCGGCCTGCCTCCAAAACCCACACCTACGTTCTTCTTTCGTTACCTAAGACTGGGGTGGGGGTGAACACTATTCCTAGACACGATCCTCTTGTACCCAGTGCAGCATAAAGTCTTTATCACAAGATCATGCCTGCAGCCCCTGAACCGTGAACCCTACCTCCAAAACCTTACTTCTTGTTCCATGTCCGCGATTGTTTCTAACCCTAAACCCTAAACCCTAAACCCTAAACCCTAAACCCCTGAATCCCATGAACAGCCTGGCCACAGCACCAACGGATGCGCCAACACTGGAGGCCTTGCCAGCAACGGCGCGCTCAATGCCCAGCCAGGTCAACCTGCTTAGGGTTTAGGGTTTAGGGTTTAGGGTTTAGGGTTTAGGGTTTAGGGTTGAGGGTTGAGGGTTGAGGGTTGAGGGTTGAGGGTTGAGGGTTGAGGGTCTAGGGTCTAGGGTTTAGGGTTTAGGGTTTCAGGATTCGTGGAGGTTTAGGGTCCGGGTTTCGGGTTGAATGATTAGGGCCTAAACCTACGTACACGTGGTAGGCCAGGAACCATCTTGTGATAAGGGCACCTTTTTTGGGGGTTGGTGACTTGATAAGGGAACCCAGAACCCAAAAAAGGGTAAAGGGCACCACTGGGCTAACAAGTAAACTGTAAAAATGGTAAAGTCCACGCATCCTTCGCTACGGCTGGCTTAAGAACCCCCGAAAAAATTGTTCTCCCTATAAGGTAACAAGAGGATACTCATTTTTCCCCCGGGGCGGGGGGGGGGGGGGGGGGGAACCCCGCACCCCTAAACCCTAAACACCTAAACCCTAAACCCCTAAACCCTAAACACCTAAACCCTAAACCCCTAAACCCCTAAACCCTAAACACCTAAACCCTAAACCCCTGAACCCTAAACCTGAAACCCTATGAGGGTTTTGGCAGGGCTTCGAAGCGTCGAGAGTCGAGAGTGGCGTCACCGACTCTTGGGTTAGGGTTTAGGGTTTAGGGTTTAGGGTTTAGGGTTTAGGGTTCAGGGTTCAGGGTTTAGGGTTTAGGGTTTAGGGTTTAGGGTTTAGGGTTCAGGGTTCAGGGTTAGGGTTGAGGGTTGAGGGTTCAGGGTTCAGGGTTTAGGGTTTGGGGTTTAGGGTTGGAGGGTTGCGGGTTGAGGGCTTAGGGTTTAGGGTTTCGGGTTCAGGGTTCAGGGTTCATGTACATTAATTTTAATCGGAATCAGAGTCGTATAGGGTATACGACCCAACTGTAGGGTTCATGTGGCCCCCCAAGGTAGACCCTTCGAATCACAAGCACTTGTACGGGCACCCTCAGGCAAACCAGATGAAATAGTTTGGGGATTTTAGGGTTTAGGGTTTAGGGTTTATAAGGGTTTAGGGGTGAGTTGTGTTCAGTTCGTTCTGTACAGGAAAGTTGCCCTAAACCCTAAACCCTAAACCCTACACCCTAAACCCTAAACCCTAAACCCTACGAACTGTTGGGCGTTGGGGTTTGCCCGTGGCGCACATGGAAGAAGCCGCCGCCACCAGAGTTGTCGCCACAGCCCGGGACGCAATGCCGTCCTTCCACATGACCCGCAGTTTTAGGGTTAAGGGTATGAGGTTTAGGGCTTAGGGTTTAGGGTTTCGGGTTTGGGGTTTGGGGTTTGGGCTTTGTGGTGCCTAGAATACCCCGACAAAAACGGCGCATCGCTCTCCCTAGACCCAAAACCGTACTTCCTGAAACCCTAAGCCCGAAGCCTGGACCCTTTCAGCCCTATAAACCCGACCTGCACAAGCCCTAAACCCTAAACCCTAAACCCTAAACCCTACACCCCTCAATTAATGTGGGGGCCTCAAAAAAGGGGACCCCTTTTATACCCTAAGACACCCAAGGGCCCCATGCTTCAGAACCCTTTGAGGGAGGTAAGGGACCATATCAAGGGCCCATGCAACTACCCCTAAACCCTAAACCCTAAACCCTAAACCCCATATTTAAGGGGTCAAAGAGCGCAAGCCCTTCAAGGGCCTAAGCCTCATGGGCCCGATTTGGGGTAATGCGAACCACCCCCCCCCCCCAAGTCGTGGAGCTCGACAAAAGCCCAATCGTAGGGTTTAGGGTTAAGTCCACGTGTTTCACATGCAATTCAACCCTTGACCTTAACTTGGCTGCACTCAGGAGGGTAGCTATAAATTAAGCTTTTAGCTGCCTTAAATAAGAACCCAGTAAACCCAAAAAAGGTAAGGATCTAAAGTTACAGTAAAGTACCACAAAGTTAATCCTCGTAAGATTGAACCCCTGGACTACTTGGTAGCTCAGTAACCATCTTCTCGTCAGGGTGCCCTTTTTTTGGTCGGTTACTTTACAATTGCAGGAACCCAGAAACCAAAAAAGCAAAGGGTACAGGGCACCACTGGGCTACCCTAAACCCTAAACCCTAAACCCTAAACCCTAAACCCTAAACTTCCCGCCTCCCCGCCCAAATAGGAATCCTACTGGGCTACCAAGGCTATGGAAGGTCCTTCACAACGAGCGCCGAGCCGCCATTGAAGCCAAGCCAGCCAAACCTTGCACGCGCGGGTTTAGGGCTTAGGGCTTAGGGCTTAGGGTTTAGGGCTTAGGGTTTAGGGTTTAGGGTTTAGGGTTTAGGGTTTAGGGTTTAGGGTTTAGGGTTTAGGGTTTAGGGTTTAGGGTTTAGGGTTTAGGGTTTAGGGTTTAGGGTTTAGGGCAGCTCCGGGAAGCTAGTGAAGGGAGGGGGGGCCTCATTCGGGTCCGGGACCGGAAGCCTTCTACAGCCCTGGCACCCAAGCGCAACAGCCCTCGAAACCTGAATCCTAAAGCAGTTTAGGGTTTAGGGTTTAGGGCTTCGGGTTTAGGGTTTAGGGTTTAGGGTTTAGGGTTTAGGGTAGCAAACAAGTAACCTACGAAGCCTGGCTAAACTCTTAACCCCAGAACCCCCCCAACCCAAAATCCTCACGGTACTCTTTAGCTAGAAATTTTGGGGTTCAGGTAGGGGATGTTCAACGTCTCCGAACCCACCCCCTCATCCCTCACCCGTATAAACCCTATCAACCCCTCGCCCCAACCCCCCCCCCCCCCAAACCCTAAACCCTCAACCCTAAAACCACCGCCCATGCCCCAGGCAACCAGAGCAGACTTCCGCCGAGGATGACGAAGGGTGCGTTCGCGGTGCCCAGATCCTTGCGAGCGAAGTGTGCAGGGGTTTCTTAGGCTTCACGTATATCGGTTTAGGTCTTACGGCTCAGGTTTTGGGTTTTCGGGCTTGGGTGTTCAAGCTTCGGGTTTAAGTTTAGGGGTCACAGGTTTTGCAGAGGTTGATTTAGATAATGGTCCCTATAGCTAGTTGGTACCCCTAAACCCTAAACCCTGAACCCCGAATCCTGAACCCTAAACCCTAGTTGGTACCCTGAACTCTCTACAACATTCTGCCAGAACGGCGGGGGCACCCAAAAGCGCAACCAAATCTGCAAGACTTGGGTCCGAACTGCTGGTACTCATGCTTCGACGTGCAACGTAACCCAAAACCTTTAGGGCATAGGGTTTCGGGTTAGGGTTTAGGGTTTAGGGTTTAGCGTTTAGCGTTTAGGGTTTAGGATTTAGGGTTTAGGGCTTAGGGTTAAGGGTTTAGGGTTTAGGGTTTAGGATTTAGGGTTTAGGGTTTAGGGTTCTCCCCAGACTCAAAACTTGTTTTGGGTCCTTCTCCACATGCCTGCGTGGGCCGATGATGAACCCTGCGACGTAGCCGGAGACTCCGGAACTGATATGCACCACGGTACCTGCAGGATTTAAAGCTTAGGCCAGAGGGGATAGGGTTGGGGTGTAGGAGCAGAGCATGGGCATCCGTGCTCAGGGCACCTTTCCATGCATTGGGGCGTTTGAGGGCCTAAACTTAAACCCTAAACCCTAAACCCTAAACCCTAAAACCCTAAAACCCTAAACCCTAAACCCTAAACCCTAAACCCTAAACCCTAAACCCTAAACCCTAAACCCTAAACCCTGCCAGGCCCAAGAGTAACCTAGGAATTAAAAAAGGGCACCCTTTTCGGGTTTGAAGGAGCTTCCCTTGGGGAACCCAAACCCCTAAAAAAAGGCCAGGGCCTACTCCGGGTCGCAGTCTAGGGTCTGAGGCGTATGCGAGGTTTAGATGGCACTTCTCAAAATGGGGGTACCCCTTTACCACCCCAAAGAGAATAGAATCCCCTTGAAGGGATCCATGAAAGGTAACCCTGAACCCCTAAACCCTAAACCCTAAACCCTAAACCCTAAACCCCTAAACCCTAAACCCCAAACCCTAAACCCTAAACCCTATTTTCGGAAACCCCCAGATGGGTTTTGGCTTTCTAGTGGTAAGGAGGTGCATGTGGGGAGGGGAGGCAAGGTTCGGGGCTTTTCGAGTTTCAGGGTGGAGGGCATCAAGGTAGCCAGCAAAGACAAAATGAATGAAAGAAAGAAAGAACAACAAAACACGCAAAAAAAAAAAAACGGCAGAACAGAAGACTGAAAGAAAAAAACAAAAACAAAAAAGAGATAAGAGAGTCGGGAAAGGGGGAGGGCGAAAGGAGGGGGGGGAAGGAAAGGGGGAGGAAAGGGGGAGCCCCCCCACCTCCTGCGAAGTCCATGGCCCCCATCTCCGCGATCCACCCACCAGGCCCCCACACCCAGTGGCAGAGCGGGGCATAGACGAGGAGGGACCAGAGCGCCAGCATCCACACGTAGGCCTCGGCTTCGTTGGGGATTGGACTCAGGACAAAAGTCGCGCGAGATTTGGGTAAAGGGTATGTCAGCAGCTTCTCACAATCCAAGAGTGCAACCCCTCCTCCCCCCCCCCTTTCGGCCTCCGGACCACCTTGAAGCCGTGTTCTGCGTGGCTGGGGGGGGGGGGGTTGGGGGGTCTCTCTCCCTCTCTCTATATATAACTTGTGTGTATTTATATATATATATATATGTGTTTATTTTTATTTTTTGTTTATATGCACAATATACTGAAGGAATACTGAGGGTTTTGAACGTAATGATAACAATGATCATGGTAATATCCTGATAACAACGCAGGTGCTAGTAGCAGTAGAAGCAGCAGTAGTAGCAGTAGTGGTAGGTGTATTAGTAGTCGTAGCAGGAGCAGCAGTAACTATGTACACCTAACCTATCCGGTGATGGTGGGGTACGGCCTGCCGGTTGTTGGGCTTAAGGCCATCAACCTTACATCATGCATCCTCAACCTTCATCCCAGAAACCCTAGTATGAAGCCCTCAGCCCTAAACCCAGGGTCTGTCGCGTCACAGTGCCGGGCATCATTAGCCGTCAGTCTCTGGGTCGAGAGAAGGTTTGGCGTTTCGGGATGAGGGTTGGGGGGGTTTAGGGTTTAGGGATTCGGGTTTAGGGTTGAGGGCGGCTCCGGACGACGGCTGAACAGCAAGGCCGTGCAAGCAGTGGTTCAGTAAAGTAAAGGCGGAGAACTGCTAGACCCAGGAGAAACCTCGGAATAAAACGGGCGGGTCTAAGGGGATTCTCAGAACCCTAAAGAAAGGAAATAAGGGCCTACTCCCTGTCCTAAACTGAGTAAGAGTTAGGAACCCTAAACTACCGCAAAGCCCCGTTAGGCTCTGCGGTGCGGCCCATGGTGCGCTGAAGCGCACGCGCTCCACCAAAGATCCAGAGATGATGGCGCTGGCTATGATGGCAAAGGTCCTGGTGCCGCGGGGACGCGGGCTTAGGGTTAGGGTTTAGGGTTTAGGGTCTAGGGTTTAGGGTTTAGGGTTTAGGGTTTAGGGTTTAGGGTTTAGGGTTTAGGGTTTAGGGTTTAGGGTTTAGGGTTTGGGGTTTGGGGTTTAGGGTTTAGGGTTTAGGGTTTAGGGTTTAGGGTTTAGGGTTTAGGGATTAGGGATTCATTACACTCCGAAACCCGACTGTGAGCAAAGAAAGAACAACAAACAATAGGCTTGGCAGCCCAGTAACCATCTTATCATTTGGGCACCCTTTTGGGGAGTTGGATACTAAAACAGGGAACCCTAAACCCTAAACCCTAAACCCCAAACCCTAAACCCTAAACCCTTGAACCCACAAAAATGGAAAAGGGCACCCATTGATGTTTTAAAGCGAGGCCGGCACAGCATCTTGAAACTCCCCCTTTTGAAGTGTAGAGTTCCGGTGTTGGAGGTTGAGGGCTTGCCCTAAGCCCTAGACCCCAAACCCCAAACTCTAAACCCCAAACGCTAGACCTTAAACTCTAAACCCTAAACCCCAAACCCTAAACCCCTAACCCTAGACCCTAAACTCTAAACCCTAAACCCCAAAGGTTTAGAACGACTCTGCGGCCTTAACCCCAAAAAACCCTAAAGCCTTAGAACCCCGCAACCATACTGGGATAACCACAAACCCTAAATAAACCCTAAGTCCTAAACCCTATACCCTAAACCCGAAGCCCTAAACCCTAGACCCTAAACCCTAAACCCTAATTCCTAAACCGCAAGCCTTGCAACCTTAGCCGCTGAAAGACCTTGCATCCTGGAGGCCCCCAGAAGCCCTAAAAACCTTCAACCCTGAAAGGTTAAACCTTAAACTACTAAACCCTAAACCCTAAACCTTAACTCCTAAACCCTAAACCCCTAAACCCCTAAACCCCTAAACCCCTAAACCCCTAAACCCCTCAACCCCTAAACCCCTAAACCCCTAAAGCCCTAAACCCCTGAACCCATAAACCCCTGAACCCCTAAAACCCTGAACCCCTAAACCCCTAAACCCCTAAACCGGTAAACCCCTAAACCCCTAAAAAAACCTAAACCCCTGACCCCCTAAACCCTGGAACCCGAGCTAAACCTTAAACCTTGGGATGTTCCCCCTTATACTAAACGTCCGTAATGGGGACTATACCCCCCCCCCTATTATAATCCCTGCCAAGGACTGCTAGTGCAAAGGAGAACATCCCAACTTAACCCTACACCCTAAACCCTATAGACCCTAAAACCTAAGCCCTAAACCCTAAACCCTCTAAACGCTAAACCCTAAACCCTAAAACCTAAACCCTAAACCCTAAACCCTAAACCCTAAACCCTAAACCCTACGGGAACATCCCAACTCAAACCCTCTGACCGAGGCTCATCTGGAAGCAAGCGAAGCACAGCCCGGGGAGGCCCGACTCGTCCTCGAAGGGCCCGCCAAGGGTTTAGGGTTTAGGGTTTGGGGTTTAGGGTTTAGGGTTTGGGGTTTAGGGTTTGGGGTTTAGGGTTTAGGGTTTGGGGTTTGGGGTTTGGGGTTTGGGGTTTAGGGTCGAGAGTTTAGGGGTTTCGGAATCCCTTCGCCCCTCAAAGGGAAGCAAAACACACACATCGGCACAGAGATCTAGCGAGACAGACACACACACACAGAGACACAGAGACAAGAACTAAACAAGTTCACGCTTGGACGCCCTTTCGGAAGCTTTCGTCTTGAGTATCTAGGGTCTCGGGAAAAGGCCCTAAACCTCAAAATCCTGAAGCTGAAAACCCAACAAGTCCTAACCCGAAAAACAACGCTATAAACCCTCGCAAGCCTACTGACCCCATACGCCCTATCCACCCCATGAACCATGCAAACCCTAAAAAGAAGCCCCACAAACGATATATAATTATATATATATATATATATACATACATATATATACACATATATATACACATACCGTATACACCCTATAAACCCAATACACTCCGCAGACCCTAGATTCACCCTAAAATAAAGTCTTTATAGACTCTAAAGAAACAAACCTGTATATAACCTAACCACACATTACATATATATACACACACCATAGATAAACCCTAAATAACCCTGTAGATACCCTAACTGCAACCAAGACTTACATACATATATATATATATATATATATATCCTAAGCAAACCCGAAACAAACCTAGATAAGCCCTAAAAAAAAACCTAGACCGTAAACCCTAAATAAACCCCATAAGAAACCCTCCAGCTCCACCCAGGATTCCCACATCTTCAAGTCCAAGTTCGTGAACAGAACCTGCGAGACAGGGTGGAGCTCCGAGAATTGGGGGGTTTGGGGGTTAGGGTTAAGACTTTCACTATCCAGAATCACTTCAAAATCACTCGAAAAACACTAAAAATCTTTACAAGATGGCCACAGTGTTTACCACAAATGAAAGTCATAAGGGTTAGGGTCCATGAACCCTATCTCATACAAGGAGGGGCCCGCTAGTGTGACAAAAGTATCTTGACTTGGGCAAATAGAATTAGGGTTCAGGGTTTAGGGTTTAGGGTTCAGGGTTTGGGGTTTAGGGTGTGGGGTTCTGGGTTTGGGGTTTCTTTGACCATCTACGGGTGCAACAAACCGATGAAGATTTACACAAGGGGGGGGGGGGGGGGGGAAATTGAGAGGCCTTGTACGAGTTCCCCTAAACTATACACCCTAAATCCTGAACCATAAACCCTAAATCCTAAACCCTAAACCCTAAATCCTAAACCCCAAACCCCAAGCCCTGCCCGAATCAAAGGTGCGGGCTGGAAAGGGTGTAGGGTTCCAGGGGCTAAGAACGGTTTGAGGAGTCAATTCCCAGTGCTGTTCACCAGGTTCTAAGCCCCAAACCCCAGACCCTGTTGCAGACTTAGGGTACCCTAAACCCTAAACCCTAAACCCTAAACCCTAAACCCTAAACCCTAAACCCTAAACCCTAAACCCTAAGTGATCAATCGAGCGGCATAGTCGAAGTTGCCGATGAACTTCCCGCCGTCACCTTGGTAGCCCAGTAAGCATACCAAAATAAGGGCACCTTTTTTTGGGTTAGTTATTCTATAAAGGAACCCAAAACCCAAAACCCTAAACCCTACACCCTAAACCCTAAACCCGAAACCCTCAACCCTAAACCCTAAACCCTGAATCGCGGCTCTGCAAAAGGGTACCACTGGGCCACCAAGTCACCAAAGGCCAAGGAGAAGCCAATCACAGCCCAGGTCACCGTTACGATGCCCATCGAAACCACGCTCATCCTCGGTTTAGGGCTTCGGGTTTAGGGTTTCAGGGTTCAGGGTTTAGGGGGAAGTCAGGCGGAAGAGTTGTGACACTAATCCCTATAGACCCTAAACCCTCTTTACGAGGCTTCGGACTTGGGCCTCCCATTGAATTCGGCCGGATGCACCCCTGAGAGCCAAGGCGTAGACTGAGTCGCTCGCTTCGGCAGCAAACAACTATAATGCAGCAGGGCCACCCCCTTACTATCCTAGCTGTACTTAGGGAACTTAGCGCCTATGTTATCGCGCTTAGAACCCGATTAGGGCCCTTCCTTTGGCCGGGGTGGGGGCGGGCCTGAGTGCACAAGTTTCGCCAAGCAACATCATGGTGTTGATGATGTTCGTATCCCTCACCTTGGTTGGCAAGCTGGCCCTGGAAACCCTACTTGGAGGTTCATGGTACTTATTAACCAATTATAACTGTACTTATGACCCACTTATAAGCCCCTTAAGTCCCGTAACATGGTTATAAGTGCAGCTAGAAGTACAGTTATGATTGGTTCATGAACCTCCAATTAGACCCCAAACCCCACTTGCCATGCAAGCGTGTACCTGGACCAACGCCGTAACGCTAGAAGCTGCGCCCGTTACTCCCTCCCTGTTTCCGGTTTGGGTGTTGAGGGTTTAGGGTAGCCGTTTAACTACGCCCTATACGCCCAAAACACCTCAGCACAGATTTTGAGGCGGTGGTTCAGAAAGTAGGGAAATCGTAGGACCCCAGGTGATATGTAGGGCTTATAAGGCGACTCTGGCTGTACGGGGTACGCGGCATGACTCTGTCCGTTGCAGCCCCAAGAGAGTCCGAACCTTGACCCGAAACCCTAAACCCCAAATCCCAAAACCCTAAACCCTAAACCCAAAAACCAAAACCCTGAACCCAAAATTCGAGCCTTACTCCGAAACTTCCGGAAAGTTTGGCCAAGTTACCAGGCCACCATAAAAAAATCCGAGCCCCGCCGTCATCAGGAAGACTAAGGCGGTCGAGGTGAGGACCCTTGCGAGCGCAGGGGTTCAGACCCTTGGTATTCCTAAACCCTAAACCCTAAACCCTAAACCCTAAACCCTAAACCCTAAACCCTAAACCCTGAACCCTGAACCCTGAACCCTGAACCCTAAACTTTAAACCCTAAACCCTAAACCCTAAACCCTCTCAAAGCAAGCCAGGGCGCCAGGCGACGGCCCCTGCATCCACGGCTGCTTCGGTGAGTGTTTCTCCCATGGCTGCTGGAGCGCGGCCCACTTGTAGCTAGCGGGCGGCAGCTTCTGGATGCTTTGAGCACAAGCTGGCGAGGGGTTTAGGGTTTCGGGTTTAGGGTTTAGGGTTTAGGGTTTGGGGTTTTGGGTTTTGGGCTCAGGGTTAGGGCTTAGGGGGCTTCAGCAGCTGGCGAAGGTAGGGTCGAGCGCTTTGATTTCAGGGCGGATGGCTTGGGATGCCGAATCTGTGGGACGTTGATGCATCGGATCGGCACGGATCCTCACTCGAAGCACGTCGCACTGACACCCAGCGGAAGATACCAGCATTGACCCTAAACCCTAAACCCTGAACCCTAAACCCAAAACCCCTAGACCCCACAGGTAAGCTGCCGTCTTCAGGTTGAGGTGTCGCTTCACCGTGAAAAAACCTAGTACGGCGGCTGTGCAAAGAAGAGTCACGTC